ATAGTTGGCTACGGATTGCAAATAGCAAGATATGGCCAAATCTGTAACATAGCTTTAAAAGGCTATATCTGCAGATTTAAAGTCCAAAAGCATATGGGCTTTCGGATTTTGTCTTGGACATGAGCCCATTTGACTCCATCAACCCAATAGTGGGTTGTCTTATTCAATGTCAAGACAAGCCCACATCTTACTAGTTTTAAGCAATGTCAATTGATAATTTTCTCTCATTACTCTCGTCTTTTAAATTAGTATTCATAACAATAATTTTCTCTCATTAGTTAAGTTGTAGATTATTATTCAAATTTTTCTTTAATTTTTTTTTAAAATAAATAAAAACGGACATAAGAAAAGCATAAAAATCAAATAAACCACAGTTTATCCAAGTTTAGTTCAAGCCAAATGTAGTCAATAATGCGACCGTGCTAGAACCACGGGACTCAGCGAATTCCTTACACCTTCTCCCCGGTCAACAAAATTCCTTACCCGGACTTTATTTTCGCAGACCAATAATAATAGAGTCAAACCTTCTTTTGAATAGAGATTCAAATAAAAGGTGACTTGGAACACCAGTAAAAATCAATTCCAAGTGGCGACTCTGTAAATAAAATAATCCCTACTTCAAATTTGTCACTTTAATTGGAAAAGCTCTTTAACCCACAATCCGTTACATTTTGCACACTTATCTCTTGGAGGGGTAAAAAGGGGTATGACACTACCAACTCCCCCCTTCTTGTCAATACACTCGCATTACTCCAAGGTATTCATCGAGAAAATTTGCTTACGAGTTCCCACAGCTGCTCTCCCCAAAGGTATTTTAAAATGTTCAAAAACTTTAGTGAGCAGGAACCCATATGGCAACCCATGGTTCTTATCCTTGAAGTCTGCCACCTTCTTCATATATTCAATCAGAATTCCGGGCAGATTGATAGCAGTGTATCCGTCCAATGCCTCCAAAAGAACCAGGTTTGCTATCAATGGAATGGATCGTCTTTCAACTCGAGGTAGCAGGACCTTGTTCACCATCTCAAACATAAGCTGGTATTTTGGAAGCAGTACCTGTATTCGTTCCCCTTGCTGAACAGCCTGAGGCTTTAGAATAACCTTCATAAAATGAGGGGAACAGGTCCTCTCAATAGTTGAGAACCCCCCCATTGACCTTCAGGTAGATGTTGTCATCCTCCATAGTGTACATATCAGTATAGAAACTGCAAACTTCCTCTTTATAGACCTTTGGACTCTAAATAGTAAAGAGATGAGTCCACTTCTGAAATTCATAGATTTCTACAAACTGCCTCATGCCTGATTTGTCAAGAATGTCAGTATCAAGCACTCTACCCCCATCACTTTTTGCTTCTTTAGTTTTGCTTATCTTTCACTTTCAGACACTTCCACTCTGGTCCTTTTTGAGGAACTAGGTCCCTCACTATCACTTGGCTTTCTTTTGTGAGATTTCTTCTTCTCAACACCTTTATCCTTCCCAATAGGCTTCGCCTTCTCACCAGGCTCCTTCTTCTCAGCACTCTCCTCAGCACCAGTTTCAACACCTTTCACATATGACATCTTCTTGGATTTCACATGCACATTGTTCTTAGAGGATTTACGAACAAGGGAAGAAGTTTCCTCATTCACTTCTTCGTCCTCCACTTCCACAACATTGGCCGGAGGTAGATCCTCCTCATTAACTAATCTACCCTCCTTCACCAATCTGTTTCTCTTCTTTTTCTCCTTATTCTCCTTTAGAACATTTTCAAGGGCAACTTTCTCCTGCTACATAGTGGTGGGTCTTTTAAGAACATGCTCTTTAGAAGTTATCCAACCACTCCTAGTAGCGATGAACTGGTCAACATGCACATTGTTATAATCCTCTTCACTTCCATCTCCTTTTTTTTATAACACAAACATCATCTTAGGAATCAAAAAGTCTAAAGGGACAGCATCAAGGTGAGGGAAGGAGGAGGATCAGTATTTTCTAAGGGCTTTCTAGTGGAGCATAGAGTTTCATCCCAAGTAGGAGTAGAGTGCTCCTCTTGGGCAGAGGGAGCAAGTCCCTCTGTTGGCTCCCTTGTAGTACTGATTGGTACCAAGCCACCTTGAAGCACTAGGTCCCCATTTCCATCCCTATTCCCTCTTTCTTCCCTCTGAGCCCCAAACACTCACACCACTAGACACAAACTCCCTTCAACAGCAATAAACAACATATTTTCTATAGCTTCTTTCTCACCCAAGTTTCCAACAATGCAGAATCAGTAAGAGCTAGAGAAGCATTACCTGATGGTGATAGGACATTTAGATCAAAATTTTCAACAGAGGGGGTGTCAGATGCACTAAATTCTTCACCAAAACTAGCGACAACCACTTGGTCCACACTTTCTTCCTCAACTCGCTGACTCGAGAGCTCTACACCTTCTTCCCCTTCCATTAGTCCTTTTACTTCTATTTTTTCTATTGTAGCAGAGGGAGAGGTTGAAGCGACAAACTTTTTAGAAGTTTGGTTTTTTCGGCTACGATGGGAACTAGAACTTAATGAAGTAGGGAAGGAGACAGTGGTTGGCGGTTGGTCGGAGATGTCAATAGGTAAAGGTGAGGAATCTATTTTGATGGATGTACTTCGTGAGCCAAAGACAATATAGGGATTTCAATAGTCGCTTTAGGAGACTCGGATTGCTAAGAAGACATGGTTATTTTTGAAAGTGAAGACATGAAAGAGAGGGTTTTCAGAGAGAAAAAGGAAGTTGATGGTTTTGATGTAGACGGTTATGAAAGAGACATGTTGTTTGGGTTATTTAGGGGGAATGGGGGATCAGTTACAAATGGACGCGATGGAATGAGTGGTCGGGTCGGTTTGTAATGGGTGTGACGTTTGGGTTTAAAAGGTATGGGAAAAGGGTGGACACACTTAATGATGTGGCACACTAGTAGTTCAAAATGTGTATGAGTGCGAGAGGAACTACTAAGCTGAGTCATGGGAATCAGGTTCCCTGACTAATTTTGCAAATATGAGCATCATCCTTCTAACAAATTACAATGGCATTAGCTACTTGTTTGTCCTGTATCTGCCTTGATTGTTTACCTTAATGGTATAGAATTGAGTTAGAAGCTGCCAGAAAATACATTTTAGCAATTCAACTTACCATCCTTTCATAGCTAGTCATTGAGGGACCAGGTTCTCAGTTCAAATTTATCAATCCCAGCTCCAGTCAATTCTTTTCAAACTACTCTCTGCTCAGTGCTTTGGTAAAGATATTAGCTACTTAGTCCTCTGTTTTGCAAAACTTCATACAGATGAGACCCTTTTCAACATTGTCCTTGAAAAAATGATGTTGCACATCAATGTGCTTTGTCTTCTTATGCTAAACTAGGTTCTTTGCCATATTGAGGGCACTTGTTTTGTCATACAACAGTGGCAAACAGTCGAAAAATACAAACAAATCTTCTAATTATTGCTTGATCCACAGTAGTTTAGCACAACATAAGGCAGATGCTACATATTCAGCTTCTGCAGTGGAGTAGGCTATAGAATTTTATTTCTTTGTACCCCATGAAATTAAGCATGATCCCAGAAAATGTGTCATATCAGATGTGCTCTTCATATCCACCTGATAGCCAGCATAATCGGCATCAGCATAACCAATTAAGTTGAAATTATCTCCTGAGGAATGATAGAGAACCAGGTCATGTGTTCCTTTGAGATATCTGAGGATTCTCTTAGAACCTTTCAAATGAGTTTCTTTGGAATCTAGCACATAACCCCACACTGAACACAATGTCAGATATGCCAGTTGTTAGGTACAAAAGTAGATGAGTGGAAGTAGCAATGAACCAATGGTCATATAACCCCACACTGAACCAATGGTGCCCCAATACATGGTTTCATTTATAGGGGAACCTGGTTCGTCCATGTCTAGACGAGTAGAAGTAGCAATGGAAGTATCAATGGTCTTTGAACTTTCCATCTCAAACCTCTTCAGAAGCTCTTTAATGTATTTTTGCTGACTTATCATCATCCCTTTAGAGGTTTCTTTAACTTGTAATCCTAGGAAGAAGTTTAGTTCCCCCATCATACTCATCTCAAACTTGCTTCTCATAAGCTTGACAAACTCCTCACACAAGGAATCATTTGTTTCATCAATGATGATGTCGTCAACATAGAACTGCACAATTAGTAGGTTCCTCCCTCTTTTCTTTAGAAAACAATGTTGTCAATTTTCCCTCTAGTGAAGCCATTTTCCAGAAGGAACTTGGGCAACCTTTCATACCAAGCACGAGGGGCTTGCTTTAATACATATAAGGCCTTGTCAAGCTTGAATACATGTTCAAGATGCTCATGGCATTCAAAACCGGGTGGTTGTTTGACAAAGACTTTTTCCTTTAAATATCCATTCAGAAATGCACTCTTAACATCCATTTGGAACAATTGTAATTTCATATAAGATTCAAAAGCAATGAGAATTCTGATGGCTTCCATTCTTACAACTGGAGCAAAAGTTTTATCATAATCAATTCCTTCCTCTTCATTATAGCCTTAAACCACAAGCCTGGCCTTATTTCTTGTTGTATTTCCAAACTCATCAAGCTTGTTTCTGAACACCCACCTGGTTCCAATAACTGTTCTATCTGAACGTAGGGGAACTAGGTGCCACACATTGTTCCTCTCAATTGATGGATCTTTTCTTGCATAGACGTAATCCAGTCAACATCCTTCAATGCTTTCTTGATATTTTTCAGCCCAATTTGAGACAGAAAAGCCAAGAAAGCAAACATGTTTCTTGTCTTTGATCTAGTCTAAATTCCTGAAACCAGAAGAGTGATTACATTCTATAGAGGATGTAAGCTTTTGTGCTTCCAGTTAGACACTTGAGTTTTAGGGTGAGAAGGACCAAGTTCCGCCATGTGAGACCCATCATTGGCTTTCAAGGAAGTGTGAGTACCACTTCTCTGCTCAGTATCATGGGTGACTTGAACATCATCAACAACTCTATATTCTGCTTTAGTTGCTGTGATGGAAGGACTAGGTTCTTCCTAATCGGTTGGAGGTTCTGCTACATCTTCTTCACTAGACTCATTGACCTGACTCATCAAATATGCCTTCCCGTTTGCTATATAAATGACTTCTCTAAGAACCTTTGAATATTCTCCATCTTGATCATTCTTATCATGTGAATCCTTCCCACTTGAGTGGTATGATTCATCAAAGGTGACATGTAAGCTTTCTTCGATACATTGGATTCTTTTGTTGTAGACCTTGTATGCCTTGATCTATGAAAAATATCCAAGAAAAATCTCTTCAGCACTTTTAGCATTGAATTTTCCCAATGCTTCCTTACCATTATTGAGAACAAAACATTTGCAACCAAATGCTCTCCGGTAAGTCCGCTTTGGTTTTCTCCCGTATAGCAATTCGTATGAGGTCTTTTTATGAGGGACATGATTATGCACCAATTTATCAGATAGCACGCAGTGTTCACTACCTTAGCCCAAAAGCTATTCGGTACACCATTGTCAATTAGCATCATCCTTTTCATGTCTTCAAGAGTTCTAATTTTCCTCTCCACAACATCATTTTGTTGGGGTATTTTGGGAGCTGAAAAATTATGACTTACACCATTTTCAGCACAGAATTCATCAAATTTTGAATTATCAAACTCAGTACCATGATCAGATCTTATGCTTACAACATTATGGCTCATCTTCACTTGAATCTACTTCACAAGGGAAGCAAAAATTAGAAAGGTTTCATCCTTGGTTCTGAGGAATAAGGTCCATGAGAATCTAGAATAATCATCAACAATAACAAAGATGTACTTCTTTCCTCCTCTGCTGGGCATCCTCATAGGTCCACACATATTCATATGGAGAAGATCCAGTGGCCTTGAGGTGCTTACTTTCTTCTTTGGCTTGAATGAGAACCTGACTTGCTTCCCTTTTACAGACGCATCACACACCTTGTGATCCTTGAACTTTGACTTTGGTAGCCCACAAACCAACTCCTTCTTGATTAACTTGTTCAACAGAGAGAAACTTGCATGTCCCAATCTTTAGTGCCACAGTCCAGCATCATCATCAACATCACTCAAACAAGTAAGATTGCCACCAATCTGCAACATAGATGTTTTTGAATCTTTTTGCCACTAGAACCACTTCAACACTTACAAGATTTCTGACAGTGCAAGACTTTGATAAGAACTCCACCTTGTTTCCTTTGTTGCAGATTTAAGAGACACTCAGCAAGTTGTATTTCAAGTCACTTACATAGTACAAATTTTCAGTTGAATGAGTGAGTGCCTTCCCAATTTTTCAATCTCCCAAAATGTATTCTTTTTTGCCATTACAAAAAGGACACACTCCCATCTTGTAGGGCTTTGAGTGAAAATAAATCATCAGTACTTCCAATCATATATTTAGAGCAGCCACTATTCATGTACCATCTTTAGCTACTTCCTTTCAGTGCTGCCTGCACAAGGAAATCAAATATTAGACTTAGGAACCCAAACAAGTTTGGGTCCCTTATAATAAGGAAAGGGGCTAATTAAACTTCCTTTTGTCCAAGCAGGAATCAGACATTTCTTTTTCAGAGAACCGAGTTCCTTAGCAGTAGATATTTTTTCAACAAAAAATTTATTTTTCTGTTGGGATTGAAACCTTGCTTTAGAAGAATCTTTGAAATGGCCAGTGTTACCACAATGAGTGCAATGCCAGTTATCAGGTACAGTAACATACTTGCTATGTGGGTTGTAGGAAGCCTTTTCTTTTTGGAACCCAATTCCCCTACCTGTTCCCCCCCCCCCAATTACTTTTATACATAGAAGCAATTGTGTCAGAGGACTATTCATTTTAACCCTGCTTAGATCATCCTGAAGTTATCTATTTCTTTCAAGTTCAGTAAAAAAACTCAATTTTGCCTTTTTTAGTTCATTTTCATGTTTAAGGTGTGTCTCACTCGCTACTTCCTTACCTTTTGAAGAGTTCATGCAATTTTTTATTGAAATTTTTCCAGAATTACTGTCCCTTTTTTAACTCCTCTACAGTTTCCTTCAGATCTACAACTACTACCAATAAGTCATCTCACTTATGTTCTACTTCTTCAATTTTCTTAGTTAGAATTTTTTTTTATTTCTTTAAATCCTATATTGTTTCTTTCAAATTAACAACTACGACCAGTAAATCATCTCTCTCATGCTCTCCCTCTCTTATTTCCTTAGTTAAAATATTTTTATCATTAATGAGACTATAGTAAGCATCAATTAGGACATTAAAGATACCAGCTTCTTTTGAGAATAAAACTTTAAATTTCTTTGAACGTATAGAAAGTTTACCTCATCGTCATCCTTATCAAATTTTTCCATCAGGACAAATATGGAGTCATATCCTGCTTCTTCTCTTTCAACAACCATCATGGAGGTGTCGCCTTGTTCGTCTTCATCCTCAGATTCACTAGATGAATCTCCCCATGCAGCTAGAGCTTGTTTCACAATATTATCAGCGACATCTTTTCTCTTGAATTTCTTGTCAGGGACTAGGTTCCTCTTGGCAGTCTTGTCTGTGTTGTGCTTGTAATGGTCCTGCTTGTGGAGAGGACAATCTTTGATGAAATGTCCTGGATTCCCGCATTTGTGACATCAATCATAGCCTTTTATTCTACTAGAGCTGCCCTTTTTTGGAATACCTTTATTTTTACGAACCATTTTTTGAAACCTCCGTGTCAAATAGGCCATGTCAGCATCATCACCACTTGAGTCACTGTTGTCTACTTTGAGAACCAAGTTCTTCTCCTTTTTGGGTTCTCTTCTTTCATAATCCTTCTTTTTTCTTCATTTCGTAGGTCTTCATATTTCCAATGAGTTTGTCAATCATCAGCTTTTGTAGATCTTTTGCCTGCGTGATAGAATTGACTTTGCTCTCCCAGGAACCAGGTAACACACTAAGTAAATTTCTGACCAGTTTGTTCGTTGGGATAATCTCTCCTAGAGATTGAAGCTCATTGATGATGGAAGTGAAGCGAGTATGCATGTCCTAAATGGACTCATCCTCCTTCATCTTGAATAGTTCATACTTAGTAGTGCGCATGTCAATTTTTGACTGCTTGACTTGAGTGGTACCTTCATGTGCAATTTGGAGAGCCTCCCAAATCTCCTTTCCAGATTGACATGTTGAGATTCTGTTGTACTTGTTTGGTCCAATATCACAGATAAGGATCTTCTTTGCTCGTAAGTTTTTCTCGATGGCTTTACGTTCGGCATCATTATACTCCTTCCTTGTCTTTAGAACTTGGACATGTGTCTCGCCAATGGTCTTCGTAGGAACAAAGGATCTATCATAGATAACCTTTGAGAGTTCCGAATCTTTAGCCATGATAAAATCATGCATTCTTGTCTTCCACCATCCATAGTATTATCCATTGAATCTTGGTGGTCTGTAGGTTGATTGACCTTTTTCAAAATTTGGTGGAGCAACCATGTAGATCCTTTTTAGGTGTTAGCTTATAGAAAGAACCTGCTCTGGTACCAATTGATATAAACAAAGAGTCTACTAAACTGTAACCAAACTGTATAAAGAACCAGGTTCTCTATCAGTTCCCACATAATACACACACATCAGTACGTAAACATCATAACAATATTTTACGTGAATAACTCCCAGCTCACGGGATTAAAAATCACAACCTACACTCGAAGGATTTCAACTTCACTAACCGAGCAACTTTAGATTACAACCTATTGTAACCTAGGAATTAAACTCTTAATCCCTCACCTACTTGTAATAAATATATTGCAAGCATATTTGTAATAACTCTACTATAATCTAACCACTTTGACTAACTCTAGTCAAACACAAACATAAGATTTATGGTTTACAAAGGTATCCTACGAGATGCTTCTAAATAAGCTGAGTAGGAGATACAAGTGAATAACATTAACAGAGATACAACAATACTAAGGACACACGATGTACTCAATGCTGGGATCTAGTCCTTCGCTCTGTTACTGCTTTGTTCTTGAATGCCTTGGAGTAAATGAAGGTGGCTGCACACTTGAGAGTAAAATTTGTTTTTGGGTTTGCA